GGACGGTGTGACCTGGTCGGCAGACACAACAACGGGCACGTGTCGCGCTCGGCGGTGCGGCGCGTGCTGGCGCGGCTGGGCGTGCTGCCCACGGCGCCTCAGCTGCGCGCGCTCGAAGCGCGCTACCTGGACGACTGCGGCTTCAGCTACGTGCGCCTGCTCGACGAGGTCAGCCCAACACTTGGCCTTTGGCACTAAGCGAAGTCATAGGCATAGGGTATTTACACCTTTTTTTAACTGGATTAAATCAATCCAGAGGTCGTAATTTCCCAGTAGATTTTTTATTTCTAATTTAGATTTTTCGCGCGGAAACTAGCCACCATGCTGATTCGGCTCGTGACGTCACTCCATAACCAAGTACCTAATACGATTACCAAAAACTCAGTAACAAAATTTATGAAAAAAAATAGTTATAATGTTTACTTACATGGCTGTTTTATCATTTCTCAACTGTGCAGAATAGATAAATCGGGATTAACTAAATGCAAACATTTCGCAACCATCAACGTATAATGATTGGTAGATTTGTAGGTACTATCCGCTTTCACAAAACCTTATTCCATGACGCGATTTTGATAAAATAATAAAACTTGTAAGTCCCTAACGTAATGATAACACAAATAAATTCAACAAAGAAACACAGAGCACGACAAAAATCTAAGTATTTTGTGTAAGTAGGCAGAAGTAGGCTATCGGAATAATTATCCCGTAATGGCGAATGGCGTTTCAAAAATTGAAGAACAGATTAAAAAAAGTATTTCAACAGATTAAAAAAGATGTTTTTTTAACTGTAAGTTATAAATATTAAATTAGATTTTTAAGAATAAATATCAACGTTTCTCGTTTGTTTTTTTATTAAATCTTTAAAATCATGAATTTTTTTTCTTACATGGTGTAAAATACCCTATTGTATTATGAGGGTTCTTGAGTGTTCTTGCTCTCCAACTCGATCGAATCCTCAAGACGAACGCTAGCCAGGGGCCTGGATGATAAAGTTGAGAGAACGTACTTTGAGAGAGGCTTTCGTCCAACAACTTAGTGCCATGGACTGATGTTAAAAGCGTGCGATGGTTTCCCACAGATGGAGGAGCGCGAGCCGGAGAGCGCGACCATCGCGGGCCCGTCGGGGCCGCCGCCGCGCCCCGCGCACGCCGCTCACGACCCGCTGCAGACCGACATCGTGCAGATCCTCGCCAAGATCAAGGGCAAGGTACATTAACCATTATTAAACCAGAATTAGCAACTGCTACAACCCGAGCCGTAAACGAACTAAAGTCGATGACATAGCCCAACGGATTAGTAAGCTGAAGTGGAAATGGGCGGGGCATATAGTACGCAGAACTGACGGCCGATGATGGGGCAGCAAAGTTCTGGAGTGGAGGCCACGTATCGGAAAGCGCAGCGTAGGACGTCCACCCACAAGGTGGACCGACAAACTCATAAAGGTAGCGGGGAGGCGCTGGATGCAGGCCGCCTCCAACCGGCCATTGTGGAAATATTTGGGGGAGGCCTATATGCAGCAGTGGACGTCATATGGCTGAAATGATGATGATGATGACAACCCGCGTCAATTTACAAACGATATGGTGACCTTGTGTGGCCACGCAGATGGTGCGCGAGGGCGTGCGGCCGCGCGACTTCCTGAAGCAGTTCGACAAGCGCAACGAGCTGGTGATCCCGCGCGCCGACTTCTACCGCGGCCTGGCCGCCTCCGGCCTCGCGCTCACGCCGCTCGAAATGGACACGCTCATGGAAGTGTGAGTACCCACAACACCACAGTAGCCGACGCCCAAGCACACAACCCTCATATAGGGTCAGCCAGAGCAACACAACTTAGAGAAATTGGAAATGCATTAAAGCCTGGTCCGTGAGCACGTAGAATCCCGTCCAATGACCCCAAGCTACCCATCCCTATCGCATCGCGACTGTGCGACGGGCGCCCGCAGTTGTGCCCGCAGTGAGTGTGCGAGCGCGACAGCAACATAATTACGCGCGAGCGATAGGGATGGGTAGCTTGGGGTCATTGGACGGGATTCTACGTGCTCACGGACCAGGCTTTAGTACCTTTATTATTTTAATCTTTTATTGTCACTATTATAATTATTATTACTGACGGGATTGGTGAACGGTGGTACGGGAGGCAATCGTAATAAAAGACTGCGAAAGAGGGTAGACCGATTTATGTTTTTTTTTTTTTTTTATTCACAACGAGGAAGCTCTTGGCCTGTATCTCACCTGATGGTAAGTGATGATCAGGCCGAAGGTGGAAGCGAGCTTCACCCGGAATCCTCAACCACGGAGGAACTGGCTATCTTACCTCTAACTGCCGGAACACAACAATGCTGTTAACATTGTTGTTATGGCGACAGACTTAGGTAAGATGGTGGTAGCTAGCCAGGCGGACTTAGAACAAGCCCTACCACCAACCAAACCGAACAGAAAATTCTGCCCCCACTGGGAATCGAACCCGGGACCTCTGCGTCTGAAGCAGGTGGTCTAACCACTAGACCACAGAGGCGGTTATGTCTGCCCATAACATCTCACCCGCAAGTTTCCTGAGTTACTCCGTGACCATGGCGCTTGCAACAGTGCCGAAATATCGGAAACTCGAAACTAAGGTACATGGTAGCAATCCCGTCAGTAATAATAATTTGGAAAATGCATCTCTTAATTCGTTACATTACAAGTCTGAGATACATAGGCCTTCATAAATCGCCTACCTAGGATTAACGGCAAAAGCTTGCCGTCAATCCTGTCGTAAAAAAAAGATTTTTTCCACGGCAATGTAATGTGGCCGGCAGTTTCTGCGCGCCGGGGCGGCGGCGCTACGTGGAGTACGAGCGCTTCTGCGACACGGTGGGCGCGGCGCAGACACAGGGCGGGCTGGAGCGCGCGCCGCTGCTGGAGCCGGTGCCGCACGTGCCCACGCTCGACTCGCCGCTCAACTTCCTCTCCTTCGAGGAGCGCAACATCGTCTCCGGCGCGCTCACCAAGCTCGCCAAGTTCCCCGACCAGCTCTCCAACATCTTGGAGGTGTTCAAGGTGAGTGCGGCGAGAGCATATAAGTAACTAAGTGCGGGCCATGGGGATTCATTTGCTTTTATGTGCTAACTAAAGAAAGTTTATAAATGCCTCTTTCGTAATCTGATATTCCAAATTCAGAGCAAATACCCCACTTATCTAAAAAGTATGTACCTACTTATCTATGCCGGACAAACTCGCTCCACCTTAGATTGCATAGTTCCTACTTTACTTGTTGGATGAGGGTTTTAATAAAGAGCAAGCCTATAGTATCCATAAAAAAATAGAAATCCTTTTTAACCGTCTCCGCCAGAAGGAGGGTTATGTTTTTCGAGTGTAGTGGGTACGCAAGTCTCGATCACCGTTGATTTTGAATCCTTCCCTACTGTTATATTGACTGTTATAGGACATGGACAAGGAGCGCTGCGGCACCATCCCGCGCGTGTCGGTGGAGCGCGCGCTGTGCCAGCGCCGCCTGCTGCAGCTGGTGTCGGCGCGCGAGCGCGACCTCGTCTACAAGGCCTTCGGCTACCGGCGCGGCTGCGGCGACGAAGTACGCCCTCTAGAATATCTATTGCAGCTTTCTTAATTTAATCAACATTTAGGATCTCTCCTTAAAGTCTCGCATGCGTTTGCCCAAAGGTCTATTAAACCTGAGCGATATTCGCTGCCGCTGTGGGTAGAGGTACCTACATACCACGCGGGTTTCGCTCAGGTATTTAGTATCAAGTATCGCGGCTAGAGCGACCTGAGCGATATTCGCTGCCGCTGTGGGTAGAGGTACATACCACGCGGGTTTCGCTCAGGTATTTAGTATCAAGTATCGCGGCTAGAGCGACCTGAGCGATATTCGCTGCCGCTGTGGGTAGAGGTACATACCACGCGGGTTTCGCTCAGGTATTTAGTATCAAGTATCGCGGCTAGAGCGACCTGAGCGATATTCGCTGCCGCTGTGGGTAGAGGTACATACCACGCGGGTTTCGCTCAGGTATTTAGTATCAAGTATCGCGGCTAGAGCGACCTGAGCGATATTCGCTGCCGCTGTGGGTAGAGGTACATACCACGCGGGTTTCGCTCAGGTATTTAGTATCAAGTATCGCGGCTAGAGCGACCTGAGCGATATTCGCTGCCGCTGTGGGTAGAGGTACATACCACGCGGGTTTCGCTCAGGTATTTAGTATCAAGTATCGCGGCTAGAGCGACCTGAGCGATATTCGCTGCCGCTGTGGGTAGAGGTACATACCACGCGGGTTTCGCTCAGGTATTTAGTATCAAGTATCGCGGCTAGAGCGACCTGAGCGATATTCGCTGCCGCTGTGGGTAGAGGTACATACCACGCGGGTTTCGCTCAGGTATTTAGTATCAAGTATCGCGGCTAGAGCGACCTGAGCGATATTCGCTGCCGCTGTGGGTAGAGGTACATACCGCGCGGGTTTCGCTCAAGTATTTAGTATCAAGTATCGCGGCTAGAGCGACCTGAGCGATATTCGCTGCCGCTGTGGGTAGAGGTACATAACCACGCGGGTTTCGCTCAGGTATTTAGTATCAAGTACCGCGGCTAGAGCGGTTTTCTCTGCCGCAGACGGTAGCGAATACCGCTTAGATCTGAACAGTATTATTACCGCATACCCACTGGGTTTTCTCTGCCGCAGACGGTAGCGAATACCGCTTAGGTCTGAATAGGCCTTTATTCAAAAATATTTATTTAAGTCAGACCTTGGGTAGTTTCGGCACCCTATATGGTTTGAGTGAATTACATTTTCCCTGTCAGTTCAACCTACGTACATCGCTGAATAGTTAGTTATCTATGGATGAATAATGAGCATCCCCGGCGCAGGTGAACTACCGCGCGCTGTGCAACGCGCTGGACGTGCTGTACGCCACGTCGAGCGGCCAGCCCTGCTGACCTCCTGCCCTCCCGCGCTCGTCCTGTGTGCTGTGCTCTCGTGCTCGCTCAATTAAACGTCCGGTTGCTTCGCATAACATGTTTTATTGATTAAAATGTAGATATTATTGCATAGGTGTTTAGTGTTAAGTATCTTCATCGAAAAGAGGCAGGCAGCGCCGTTCAGTGGAACAGTATGAAGCGGCTCTGAATATCATCACCGGTGTAAGTGGCGGCGTAGCATGGGTTGGCACCCGGGGCGATCACCCCCNCCCTCATAAGTCCTAAGGCACCCCCTACCCCCCAGGATTTTGGGGTTGAAAATTGAAAGACAATCTCAACCCCCGTATCATGAACTTGTCATGCAGATGCGCTAATCAGTACTAATTTGAGCGACTTGTGTCACCCCCTGAGGCTTGGCACCCGGGGCGGACCGCCCTCACCGCCACCCCCCCCTTACGCCGCTAGTGCGGTGCTTCAAACGATCAAAAGCTTCAGCGTGGGATCGCCGGTGGGCGCGTCGCAGCCGGCGTGGTCGGGCGCGTCGCACACGTGCAGCGCCGGGTTGAAGTGCAGGCCGGCGCTGCACTGGCGGCACACGGGCGCCGCGGCCGCGCCCACGCAGTAGTAGAACAGGTTGCAGTCGTCGGGGTGCGGCAGCAGCGCGTCGGGGCTGGCCGCGTCGGCGCACGACACCGGCGTCACCGAGTTGACCGCGCAGCGCGGCGGGATCTCGTTTTTAGAATCGTCCTTGTTGAATTGGTCCTCGACGGGCGCCGCCTGGCCGGCCCCGGGCGCTACGCAGCCCGCCTGCTCCGGCGCGTCGCACACGTGGAGCGCCGGGTTGAAGTGCAGGCCGTCGGGGCAGCGCTGGCAGAATGGAACGCCGTACGTGCACTGGTAAAACAGACGGCAGTCGTCCGGGTGAGCCAGGAGCCCGTCGGTGCCCACGTCCGCGCAGGATATCTGGGTTATCGAGCTATCGGCGCATATGTCCGAAACCTCACGTTTGTTGCTTCTGAAAGAATGTTTTTTAGTCTCAATCTACAATACATCCTTTCCTTAACATAGTTATCCGCGATCACAAACCTCATATATCGGAAAATTGGGTAAAATTGCAATTAAGTAACATTAGGTACCACACAGAACTGACATTTGATAGAGTTCTTGCAACTCACGAAGGCGAGTAAGCTTTAGGCGATTATCACACTGCACCGCGCTCCGCCGCGATCCGCGTGGCGACATACCTACCTAATAATATAAAAAATCCCTCGCGCAAACGCGTTGTCAGTGTGTTGTGCCGCGCGTGTTTTCTATCCTACAAACTGACTTTTCTATCCTACAAACTGACTTTCTATCCTACATCCTACGAACTGAAACGTTACTGCCTAGCTCGCATAAATATTTATAACTTTGTACATTTTAAAGCATGTAAACCTTTGAAAAAGAGGCTGACAATAGTAGTGACTGAGTTTCTTGCGCTGCTTCTTCTCAGCACTGGCCCATTTATTGTCCTGAAGCAGTGGTAGGGTTAATACTGGAACGTGTAAAAGTGCTTTTTAAGCCTATTTACAGAAATAAATGAGTTTTTTTTAATGAGGTAGGTACTTAAAAGAAAGAAAGAACTCAAAACTTTTGAAAAACGAACAGTTGCGAGCCTCCTCCACGATTTCCACACATGTAAAGCTCACTCGCCTTCGTGAATTGCAACAACTATACCCAAATATACAATGTGTCCGGGCATGTAGTGATCAAACTTTAAGGACGAAATCTAGGGACAATATTTTTATCGATAATTAAATACTTCAAATTTGGGGCTTGACCCATTTATCGCAAAATTACAAGGATTTCAGTTTTTAATTTTTAGTTTTCACCTCTTCCTTCAAAAACAAGTAAAAGCGTGGGTAGCATTCTTACTCCCGTAAAATGTATGAAACTTGAGTCTGTTTTCTACTTCTACTAATAGATAATTTTATTGGCTATCGCATGATATGAAATATTTGCTTATTAATGTTAAGCTACCCACACTTTCACTTGTTTTTGAAGGAAGAGGTGAAAACTAAAAATTAAAAACTTAAATCCATATACTTTTTCGAGAAATGGGTTTTCTGGCCTCAAAGAAGTATATTCATCGATAAAATTGTCCATAGATTACGCCCTTATAGTTTGATCACTAAGGATCACTACAAACCCGGACACACTGTATAATTCAGACAAAAATTTTTCGTTATAAAATTAAATAATCCTAAAGCTAATACTTTTATAATAAATCAATTTCTGAGATATCGCGATTCATAAAATCCAATATGCCTAGGAAAGTACAATAGTTAATACCTATTGCTATTTAAAATGATAAATTATTGTACCTAAATATGTAGATTTGCAACAAGGAAGTGATAAAACTTAGTAAGGCGAACTTATAAAATAACTTACAGATGTGAAGCTTTCGTCAAAGCTCTTACAGAAAGCGTAAGGCCAAGTAAAACTAGAATCCGCAAGTAGTTTGCCATCTTGAGCAAAAATGATACGACTGAATATTTACAGATACATTATCTAGATTTATTTAAAGGAGCCCTGAGTGGTTTGTTGGGACTACTGCATTAAGTGGAAATTGAATTGCTTTATCAATGGCAATCTACACTCGACGTCAAATAAATCGCACCTCCCGCGACAAGCATTTTCAAACGTATGCATCCCCACTTCCCACCAATATTGGTACCATTGAAAAGCCTAGTTCTAACCTTCATTTCATTAAAGGAAAGGTTTTTACCCCAAAAATGTCTTTAGAAGGATCCAGTCACTTCTTCAAAAAATGGGTAGTTACGCTAGAGCCAACTTTTATGGCTATAAAACTGTTAAGTTGGGTTTAATTGCTATCCATCTGGAGGACACGTGAAATTATTTTGGTTTTATAACCATAAAAATTGGTCTAATTGATCCCATGGGTGGGCCCCAAAGTGAGGTATTTTTTCAAGTCACATTTATGGTATATTATGTTAATCATTTATTAAGAAATTAAATGTGTTTTTCTTTAAGGATATTTATTGGGCTTTCAAATAACACCAATTTTGTTGGGGTACCATGATTGTGTCAGAAGAAAATCGTTAAAGTTCGCGTCGCGGAAGGTGCGGTTTATTTGATGTTGAGTATAGAATGATAGGTACGATTTACATTATACTTACCTAGGTACTCGCTGTTTATGGAATTTAGATGATCAAGTAGATAGGTACAGTCAGCGTCAAATAGTTCGTGACATTAAAGTGGCCAAAAATTTGATAACAAAACCTTGTAACAAAGACGTGGTTGTGAATTGTGATTCGGTTATCATACCAAATTAAAATCTAAGGCATATGTAATGTTTATCATGTTTCTCCAAAAAAAAGGTTGGGAGAACCAACCCACCAACCTACCTACCTACCTTATCTATCTACACTGCTTCAAGATGTTAGACGATCCTTACTGCCCATGCGATGACTCCAGCGTAGGACATTGACCATTTCATATTATGCTCATGCCAGAGTCTATGTATACATAGACTCCGGCATGAGCCCGACACATTTATCTTCTTACCTATGTTACAACTTATCAGAAACACGTAGGGTAAGGCACACCTTTAGGGTTAGTCCTGACAAGGAACCCTTATAGTTTCGATATGTTTGTCTGTCTGTCTGTCCGAGGTTTTGCTTGGAAACTATTGGCACTAGAGAGCTGTAATTTTGTGTGGAGGTATGTGTATATTAATCTCACGCCGCCATCAGTGGTAGAATAAAATTTAAAAAAAACATTTTAGGGTAGCTCCCCTAGTAGTGGGGATGATTTTTTTTTCATCTTTTACCCCATCGTGTGGGGTATCGTTGGATACATAGGTCTTTGAAAATGGCTTAGGGGTTTCTAAGACTATTTTTCGATTAAGGGATCTGTTTGCAAAATAAAATATGTAAGTTTAAAGGTCTATTCAAAGCAGAGCGATATTCGCTGCCGCTGTGGGTAGAGGTACATACCGCGCGGGTTTCGCTCAGGTATTTTAGTATCAAGTATCGCAGCTAGAGCGTTTTCTCTGCCGCTGACGGTAGCGAATACCGCTTAGGTCTGAACAGTATTATTACCGCATACCCACTGGGTTTTCTTTCTATGCCGCAGACGGTAGCGAATACCGCTAATAGGTCTGAATAGGCCTTAAAGTGCTCTTTTGTTCGAGTAGGGCGTCGTTTAAGAAAGTTTGAAAATTTTTATAGCGCAATCGGGGCACTGAACAAGAGACTCGGTTCTGTATTAAGGCTCTATTGAATTAAGTATGACCTGCGTTAACGCGCGTTACATTACATGTGAACGTAAAACACAAGTATACTTATTCACATTTCAAAAGGAACAAAACCTTTACCTTCCTTATTACGTAGTCTACGCAGTTAGGTACCTACCTACCTACATCTGAGTTTTTCTAATAACTTATTGTCCTCCAAAGGCTCTAAATATTACCAATGAGTTCCTATTACTACTGTAAATAATTTCAGCACTTCATTGGCATCATTGAATAGCTTCTTCTTCACTAGTTAGAAGAGTTATGCCCGTTTTCACCATCAATTCTTAATTTTTAAGTGACCCCTAATGGTCACAGAGCCTATGGTAACACATAACAGGAATTTTGTTTTTATTTATTTATTTACAATACAATTAAGACATTATTAAGGATCACTTAAATTAGAAATTGATGGTTGGTACTCTAACTTATTCTGTGTTAAGTAATAGATGAAGTAAGACTGTCCAACCGATAAGCGATCCTCCTCTCACACATCACCTTCCAGAGCTTCCAGGCACACTTTCGACCAAAAAACCACCTCTTACTTTCTGAAAGGCGTAATTATTATCAGTTGCCGTCGCCCTCGGCAACGCCCAGGCAAGAGGATAGGAACTAAAAAAAGTAGTTTCCTTTCCTCTACAAGTTCGTTGTCACACTGGAAATTTTTTCTCGTTTTTTCCCGTTGAGTCACACCATTTTTATGTAACACTTGAACCATTGTTGAAGGATGTTAAGTGCTCCAAAAAATGTTGAGGAATATGAAATCGTGTTGTGACTTACAGCTGCTGCAAGGGGACAGCAGAGCATATTTTTCATGATTTCAACTTGATACGTATACCTCCGACCTCTTCATACCGTTGTTTCCCGGTCCCGGATTTCTGATATAGCCTGACCAGGAACATAAAAACCCTCGCCATGTTGCGGAAAACTAATGGTACTAATTTCTTTTAATGGCAACAATAACTGAAAACTTCATTGACATGTCACCTTGCATGTCAGTCTATTGTTGTCAAAGTGTAAACAAACTTTATTTTAAATGTGTGCAATTGATTTTGTGAATTAAATTGCTAAAATTTTTTTATAGTCGTGAAAGAAAAGTGGTTCACAATGTGTTAATGTATTTGTCGAAGAGAAATACTAAGGGTTCGGACAATATTTTCATTGAATAATGTTTCCGACAAAGGTTGTCAAATTGACTGACAGTTTATCGTATAGTACAGTCCACTATGAAAATTAGCTGAAGTCTGTTTCAACTACCTATTTCGAAGTTTTTGTCACTTTCTAAGTTTTGAATTTTATGGAATTGGGAAAGAAGTACCGAGTTTGAAGCGTTCATGAGCAGACATTGCAGTTGAATATTCAAGTTCTGAATTTGATTATTGATGAATAATAAAATAAATCATACTAGCTCGATTGATGGTCTTATTGTTTTTTAAGAAGAAAGTAATTTTTGTTAAATTCCTTTGTTTTTTTTTAAATTCTATTATGATTGATCTCATGTCTACAAAAACAGACCAAAAATGACTGCCATGTTTCTAAGCGTTATTTAATTAAAATTTTCAATATTTATTGCGACCAGTGTGTTTTATTTACGAAAACAAACTCATATTCTTATAAATAATGTAATTTATTACATTGATTATGCTGTAAGTCTCCTGAATTTCGGCTTTTTAGTATTACGTCAAAATGACGTCACCTCACCAATACTGTGACCCATATTCACGTCACCAGTTGAAGGTTAATTTATTTAAACCAGGTTACCTTTAATCATATTTTTTCGTTAATTTATGAAAATATCAAATTAGCCCGTAATCCTGAATCCTGATAGGTACATAAATTTAGCCTATTAATTTAACACATGTACGACTGTACTCAGTGTTGCACTATCAAATGCAATTGACGCGCCTCTATGCCAGGGTTTTTATGTTCCTGGTCAGGCTATACTAATAAAGTCATATTAGTACGGTTATGACGTCTAACCGAACTAATGAGACCAAACCATTGGTAGAAGAAGTCTTTTAGTGGAGTGTCTCGAAAGAGATCTTAGTAGTTATCTATCCTGTCCGATTGTATAAATGCTAAACGTGGACCAAGGTCAAAGTAAATTGGCCTAACCAAGTGATAAACACAGACAAAAAGTCAAAATTTTATTTACACATTTGTTTATTGCGACATACACAATGTATATCTTCAGAAGTTTGTTCATGTCCAATCACTTATTCTAAGAATTTAATTTCATCCCTATTCGATGGAAGAAACTAGTTGTATAAAATACATGATTCTGATTGTTCATTAACCAAATTAAATATACAAAACTACAACATTTCTGCAATGAGATCCAGAACATTCATCTGCAAGTGGAGGGCGGCTCCCACACACACCTAGCGCACACATCGCCGCGGCCGCTGGCGGCGACGGGGACACTATTCATTCATATTTTATAAGCTCTGTATAATAGATAATATCAACTATAGTTTCAGTTCCAAGGTCAAAATTGATTCTAATCGGCAATAATACTCAAGTGAATCTATAATCCATACTATATTAATAATAATTTTATGCAAAGCGGCCTCCCGTTCGCGACCGTTACATACGACAGTATTTTTATCCTTAAAAAATTTCTTAAACAGATTACTTTCTTAAATTAAATTATGTGGAATGAAATGACGTGCCCCCGACGCGGCGAGACGAGGCGCGGGGGACACTCATGACCGATGACTTAACCTGGAACAATCAAAAGGCGGGTTATTAACAGGTTCAGCAGACAAGTAACTTTGTTACCGGTTAAAATCTTAGATAAGAAGCGTTAATCTGAAGAGTACGAATCTATACTTCATGTCAAAAATACACCGCTTATTCATAGGTAACATCGGTTAGAAGGGCACGTACCTTACTATTGGACTGAGATGACTATCGGCAGGTACGTGAGTTGCTTAGTAGGGCTGGTGCCTCTGGTTGGCGCGGCCTCCGCCGCCACCGCGCTGCTTGCCTCCTTGGTATCCAGCTGTAACACCGCGACTCATCAAGCTCTCGAATTTCACCTCGACACTTCAATTACTTTTAATGAATGTAAATGTGTGAACAAACAATAGCGTGCGGCATGCATGTGAGTCATGTCGTGGGTGAACAGCCGCGCACTGATTGCAGGTGTGGCTCACTAGATGTTCGATACAAATATATTTAGCTTGTGCTCACAGCACCTTGAGTGGACGCGTACGGTTGAAAATTACTAAATACGTAACGG